AGTTAAGAACATGCCCCCAAGTTTGGTCAAGTAACTATTTAAGGGCATTCTGAGAAGGGAAGGATGACATAAGGACAAACACATCATCTCCACTTGAGTGTGGCAACAGGATATGATTTACAAAAGAAAAATTAAATCGTCATGACTGTTAGAAGAACTGAATTGCAGCTCATACAAAAATTAGCCTATGAATCAACTGAGTCACCATGCATGTATGTGACTTCTCAGGAATAAAGAACTCAATTGCTTAAGACTTTATGAGTGATAAGACATCTAATAGATAATTGGCTTTCCCGCCAAATACTCAAATATTATGAAAGTATGGAAGTACCTTTTCTCAATTATGGTTATTATATTATGTCCTGTGCTTAGAAACTCCAATACTACCGGAAGTTCTCATTTTACCCTTTCTTTGGGCTCTCTCATTCATTCCTCTGACTTGAACTTCTACCCTCTGTGAGACTGTAGTCTCATCCAGTGCTCTCCCATGAACCCAACGTCTCTCCCAGGGTATCTCATTCGTATGTCAAATCAATATGTTCAAAGTTTACTGTGTTGCTTTCCGTCCCAAATCTGGTTCTCCTCATCAGTATCAAGCCAGTTACCCAAGCAAGAAAAAGGGGGAGTGATCCTTTGCTCCTATTTCTGTACTTCCACTGGGTTATCTAGTCTTGTAACTCCTAAAAGCTTCATAAATATGTCCCTTCCTTTGTTATTTTTCTGTGATTGCTTTTGTTCTTACCATCATTTGCCTAGACTACTGCAGAATAACTCGATAGACTACCTCCTGGTCTTTTACTATCCCAACGCTTCTTCATATTGCTCTTGGTTATACTGTGTATTTCTTAACAACAAAAAGCAAAGGATCCCATGCACCCAAACAAAACAAACCCAATGTGACCATGTCACTCCCATACATGGTACTTTTCAAAGGCTCCCTGTTGCCTATAAGACTAAGTTCAGATTGCTTAGCAAGTCTTATTGTGACTCTCCTCCCCGTTTTGGTCTTGTGTTCTTCCCATATGCCCTGTGATCTAGCCACACCAGGTCTCTTGCCATTCCCCAAATACTTCATGTCTTTCATCCCGAGATTTGCAGTGTTTTCCTCTGCTTGGAATGCCCTTCATAACCTGTCTGCTGAGAATTTCTAATCCTCAATTTGCTTGTCTGTACAACAGGGTGATAATAGTGATGATTCCAGAGGGTTGTCACAAGGACTAAACAAGAAAGAAGATCTTCTCCCCACAGTGTCTGGGGTATGGCAGCACTCTGTAAATGTGAGCTCTCATCCACTGATCTGCTGTCACTGCCATCATTATCAGTAGCTTGGCTTTTTTTTTTTTTTGTCAAATCTGAACAAAAACATCTTTGTTCAAAGTCTTTCCTGACTTACCTGGAAGTGTTAGGCATTCCTCCTCCCTGATACTATATGCCTCATTATGGTACCGTATTACATCAACTTCAAACTTGATGTAATTTTCATATTTTAGCACCTGCTTTTGAGGTACATCTTATCATCTATGACACATCATGTCTTAACTGCCAACAGTTTTTCTTTCTTATTAGTACTTGTAATAATGATGTTTCTTACAATGAATGGCACATTTAGACGAGATCCCATACTTAACACTGTATAATTGCCATATTATACTGCATGTGTATGGTGGAAGGAAAATCCTTCCTTCAGTGAAACATCTACATAAAAAAGATCCTACTGTTTAGAACTCCACAGTAGCCAAGAGATGTTCCATTTGTATATTCTGCAACATGGCAGAGTCCCACCTGTTGCGCCACAGGGGAGCAGCTTGATGAAGTAGCACGCTGTCATCTCCTTCAGTTAAGCAACCTCCCCCCCAACCTGTGAGCCAAACAATGGTCAGCACCAGAGCAGAAGTGGGGAAGGCTAGCTCTGGAAACTGCATTCCAGTAACCCAGGCTTCAAGCTGAGCGAGAACATGAAGAGGGGAGTGAAGGAATAACATGCAAAAGGCCAAGGGACCATGTGTCTAGACTAGTATTGATCAATAGAAGTATATTGTGAACCACATATATCATTTTAAATTTTCTAGTAGCCATGCTTAAAACCTAAAACAGGTAAGTTAATCTTAATAATAATCTCTTATTTTAAAACCCAGCATATTCAAAATATCATTTTACTGTGTAATCAATGTAAAAAATCAGAAATATTTTGTGTTTTTTTACACTACGTCTTCAAAATCTGCTGTGTGATCTCATCCTGGATCAGCCACATTTTCAATTGCTCCACAGCTTCATATGGGTAGTGCTTGCCATTTACATTGGACAGTACAATTCTAGATTGATTTTTGACCAACTCAGTTAAGTAGTAAGATGACAGTGACAGGCTATTTCAACAGTGGCTCTTTTCACCACACAATATTAGGAATGTTTAAGATTCCAATGATATTACATTTTATTTTTATATTTAAAAATTCTGTACAAACGGTAGCTTTCCTTTAAATTCTTTCTGTGCTTTGCTTTAGCTGTTTTTGTTTTAAGTGTGATTGGAGGTTATTTCTAATGTCCTTCCCATCTTCCTTTCACTATGTTGGTTCAGGGAGAACTGACTCCTTTATTCAATTGGAGATCTTTTTCCAGTAAGACAGTCCCTGAGAGAGGAACAAGGAGTGCCTGAGGTACAGCAGGCTCTTGAATAAATACTTTTTTTTAAGTTTAAGTAGGCTCCATGCCTAATGTGGGGCTTGAATTCACAACCCTGAGAGTAAGAGTCATGCTCCACCGACGAAGCCAGTCAGGTGCCCTGAATAAACATCTTTGAAGACATACTGAATGGTGACCTAAGCTGGACCACAGAGGTTCTCAACCTGAACTACACACTGGAATCACCTGGGGAGTAAATTAATAATGCTAATGCCTGGTCCCACCCCCAGAGATGCTGACAGGAGGTCTGGAGTTCGGCCTGGGTATCAAAATGTTTAAAAAATCTCCCCCCAGGTGATTCTAGTCTACAGCCAAGGTTGAGAATTACTGCTGTAGGGTTTTCCTAGAACATCTTACTGTGGCCACACCCTTGCCTCACTGACATATGGTCCAGATAGCCTCAACTCAATTTCCTCTTTCAGAACAGACCAGAAGTTTCTTGAGAAACCTAACAGAGAAGAAGCAAACACATAACCCCAAACAGTGATTTGCAAATTCCTTTTCTAAGGCACTGAAGATTTTCAAGGTTCTAAATCTATTTGTACTTTCTCTTTTTCCAACAACAACAAAAATTAAGATTTGCAATTTAAGTTTTAAGACACTAGCTGGTTCCAAGAGAAAGGAGGGAAGGCCATTATAGCATACAGGCTGGTAATACCTACATATATACAGTGCGGAATTTTGCAGATATAGAATAATAACAATTAAAAATAAAAACAGAATCTAAGTACATATGAGCTTCATATCAAGTTAGTTCTACATATGTCAAAAGCAGAAATGATTAATTGGGGATCTGCAAAAGGAAATCCTCCGTGCTTTTTCTTCAGGCCATTTAGGTTATATTTACATGGCATAATCCTAAAGCAATGCATCTATTTTGAAAAATCACATATAAAGCATACCTAATTTTAGTCACATAACACACGAGGGGTAGGATCACTGCTCTTTAGATGGCACTTTGTCGGATGACATTGCTTCCGTCATATATGAGGTTCAGCAGTGGCCAAGAGAGAACTCCTGACTTCCGCTTCAACACAAACAAGCCCTCATCAACGAGGAGGGAACAATGATCTCTGCACCAAAGGAATAGCTGGAACAGAGTTCGTCTGACTCATGGACTGAGAATCTTCCTGCCAATTCCCAAGGTGGTTTGGCCATACTTTATGGATTCACCCTGCTTAAATGGTCTTTTGTTGATGATATGGTATCATATGGCCTTATTAATAAATAGAAAGAGCATGTTGATACCTCCCCAAAGGTTCCTACATGTAGTTCCTCTTTCTAGCAAAAACAAAAGCTCCCTCTAACTACCCCATGCTTTTTTTATTGATATAATTGACACATAACATATTAGTTTCAGATGTACAACATGATCATTTATGTATATATTGCAAAATGATCATCATAGTAAGTCTAGTTAACATCCATCACTACACATAGTTACAACATTTTTTTCTTGTGATGAGAACTTTTAAGATCTACTCTCTTCTCAACTTTCAAATATACCATGTTGTATATTTAACTAGAGTCACCATGCTGTACATTACATCCCCGTGACTTACTTATTTTATAACAGCAAGTTTGTCCCTCACACTTATTTTTGTTTCACATTGTAAACTGGATTTGACAAATTAGAATAGGGACTATCCAAAGGCATTAAATGTCTATGTTCAATAATAGAGATCAACCAAAGTTCCCTACCCCTGCCAAAATCACGGAGGAAGGAACACAGCCTCATAAGATTTCTAAATAAGTGTGTCAATGCACAAAGTGGTCTCATGCATATCACTTCCATCTACCAACCCTAAAAGGCTAACGAGTGCCAAATGATTGGATGTGTGACATTCACCTGGCCCCAATTTCCCATTCAGAAAAGGAATAAAAAATACTACACAAGTTTCCAAGATGCTACACTGATAAACCAGAGTTAGGATCACTATCCACCTGTTCGGGCTGACCACAAATCTGAAAGGCATGACTATATAAGCTCTGAACCTATGTCGTTTGTCAGGGAACATGTACTGAGGATCCTCTTGGGCTCCATGAAGAGACAGAGAAAAAGTCTTCCCTCAAAAGGTTTGTAAGAACAGGAGTAATGTTAAAGGATTTGACATTAAAAAGGGTTTGAAAGGTGATATGAAAAGTGGCAGAAAATTCTATCTGCACCGAGTACGTTACCATGACGGGACGGTAGGCTGGTGGAATCCTTGGAGCTGCCGGTGGTTGGCAGGGATGCAAGGGGTTGTGGGCCTCAGGGAAAGATCCGGTGAGTGGGGGATGTGGCAGAGTTTTGTGTGTGCGCAGCTGACACCGTTCCCTACCTTTCTGGAAGAACTCTTCTAGTTTGTCCTTGAAAGGCTGGAGATACTCCTTTGGTGACTCCTTGCATACCACGATCATCTGTTTCTCACTTGCTGTGAAGGAAAGTTTGGAATTAGATTTCCTTAAGAACATGTATTTGCTAAGCTTACGCTCTCTGCTACGCTCTTCAGTATTAATTGTGCAAAATCCTTATCAATCACGGTTTATCTAAATTTCAGGGGAAAAAAAGAAAACAGAAACAACACACACAAACAGACATAGTTAGCTCACTCCACACCTTTCTTCAGGAACAAAGAAACGTACCACCTTCAACTTTCCTTTTAGAGATGCAGAAAAACCTCTGGCTTGGGACAAGAAAAGAATTATGCTTTTGGTCTCTCAAAAACTACCAAATTCCCAGGGAATTAAAGGCCCTGATCCTCTTCAGATTCATACTCCAGAAAGAGAGCTTGAAATAGATTTTGCAGCAATTCCCAGGCATCCGAGTTGCCTGGAGCCACCCACATGCCAGCAGGAGGGGCAAGCCCAGTTCAGGGAGGTCTGCATCTCTCCCTTCCTGCTTCCCATTCACCCACCCTTCCTGTTAATACTCCCCTAACACACGGTGAAATTGTTTTCCATGTGATTTACTTCAGATAGAATTTACAGACAGATTGATAATTTCTCATATATAATAGGTAACTTATAATAGAGTGCTTTTTTGACAAACATGCCCCCCTCAAATCAGAGAGTTCTGATTTGGTGATATGGAAACCACCCAAAACCCACAGTTCGCCATCCCAGGGGGAATGGCTGGAAGTGCCATTTACCGAGATGGGAAGAGTGGAAAGTGTGATCTTTTTGTTGTTCTAAGGGAGAGAAGATCAAGGGTGAACTCTGAGGCTTGTTAAGTTTTCTTTGGTCCATGTGAATTACAAGGCAAAATCGTTCAGTAAAAACAAAGTAGAGGAGATACAAGACAAGATAAAACCACGAGTGGGTGCTCTTTGCTAATTAAATTCAAACTCCAGGTCATTTCCATCACGGTACCATTTCTACCTTTCAGCTCTATTTCCCACCTAGATTTGACCAACCAAACCAAAATTCTGCAGTGTTTCTAAGTGACATCAGCCAACATTCCCACTTCCACGTCTGTGTTCGTGTGGTTCTCTGCCCAATCTGTTCACGTCTCATACATACTTACCACTGCATTTGACAGAGTCCCACTCATGCTAAAAAGTCTGACATGCTGCCACTACCATAAAGCTCTTTCCAATCCAAAGTTTTTGCAGCCTTCAAATTTCTCTAGTACCTTCTGTATGACATTTATGCTTTACCTTTAATCATATTTATTTGTGTACTCGTATTAATCCCTGTGAAGTCATCATGCAGGTTTCATTAACTTGTCTCCAAACTTCTCTAGAGAGTTCCATGCATATCTGGCCAAAATCTGGCCAAAAGTATGATTTCCTCATCTTAACTACATTCTTATGTGAAGGAAGGTTAAAAAAAAATTAGCAGTGTTGACCCAAACTCAGAGTGGGCTTTCCAGGAGTGCAGTGTGACTTCCTCATCTTTTCCCTCCTTCCTCCCTTTCTAGGACAGGTACACCAAGGGTCCCAGTCTCCACTCTGAAACACTGTGATTGTCCCAAGCTGATTTGAAAGGGCTCAGTGTCTTCTAAAGACCTCCCAAAACATCTACTACTTAATGGCGCAAGGCGCGGGCAAAGTTGCCAAGATGACCCTCCAGACTGGGTCGTTCTGAAGGTAGGCCTAGAAGCAGGAGACTGGTCTGAGAAACTTTGGAAGATGTCTGCTTTCAAGAATTGGCATTTTTTCCAGGAACTTTCATGGCCACATGAACTTTCCTGATGATATCCAGCTACGATTCTGGGAACACAGGTAGCCATGTTTAAAAGAAAGCTGGAATCTCTTACAGTATAAATTGGGAGAATCTTCTAAATCCTTTAACTAGGGATGCTTGGGTGGCTCAGTCATTAAGCATCTGCCTTCGGCTCAAGTCATGATCCCAGAGTCCTGGGATCGAGCCCCGCATCAGGCTCCCTGCTCCACGGGAAGCCTGCTTCTCCCTCTCCAACTCCCACTGCTTGTGTTCCCTCTCTCGCTGTGTCTCTCTCTGTCAAATAAATAAATAAAATCTTAAAAAAAAATAAATCCTTTAACTAGCCCTCTCCTACATTCAAATCCCAACAATTCCATTTAGAGAGAACTATTTTTCACAAACAAAAATAATACATGGTAAGGCATGCCTGTACTTTGGTAATAGGACATAATTGAACCCAAGACAATAATTTCTTGAAGTTTGCTTCTCCCTAGCCAAAGCAAAGCCAAAGGCAGAGCTTATCTTCCCAATAAGCAAAACTTCCACTTCTACCTGAATTAAAAAGATTGATCATTGTGGCTCTCCCTTTGTCCTGGCTGTGGTGACAGAGCCCACGGGGTCCATCAAATAGTTCAGATGTTATGAGGCCCTAGAGTGATGTTGTAAAGGGCTTGAGCTTGGATCAAGAGTCCTACCCGGGCTCAGGTAGACTGTGGCTTGTTTCTCTCATCTGCAAAATGGGGACCCCCTGACTGATATGAAATCAGAATTAAGTGAGATAACACACATAAAATGGTTTGCACAATGCCTGGCACTGGCAAGGGGCCTCACAAAGATTATTTGTTATTTTTATGACTTAGCAAAATTGGTTAGGAAACACGTCACAACCAGAATGGCAAGGGAGTCATGGCTGAGAATCAGTGACTACAAAGGCCCCGCACCATATTTATAGAAACGTGCCCCCGTGCAAGTCTCCTGTTTAGAACACAAGGATAATAATTTCTGTTGCCCTGCTGAACTTGTACCACCCACTGTTAGGATTCACTGAAGAAACTCCTGAGACAGATGAAGCAAATATGAAGCAAGAGCCCTAGGCAGCTGAGCCTCACGGTTCTGAAATCAGAACCTGAAGCCAGCCCGCACAAGAGCAGCTCCCCTGCTGTGGAGCTGGAAGGTCCTCCCTGCACCCTGACAGGCCCAGCCTCCCACGTGGCCTGTTGGAAGGAAACTTCTCTCCGTGATCAGAGCAGGGGTCTGCCCTCTGACCAACGCACCGGACGGTCTCGGCACAGTGGCACGTTCCAGTGGCCAGGCAGCTCGCCTGCTCCCACTTATTCACATGGCGTATCCGAGAGACTTTCTGGCAGACAAATGGGAGACCTGAAGACTAATTAACGATGACACCAGAGACCGGCGGTGCACAAAGGAGAGAGGTCACTGGCAAATCCACAAATGTCGTTTATTGTCCAACCGGAGGGCATGTATTCAATGTTGCTAGACCACCAAGGTTGCCTTGGATGCAGGCTGTGCCCAGAGTTCCAATGTTTAAAGGCAAAGTCAGCCTACATTCACTTTCTCGTTACCTATTACATTTTTGGCAGAATTAAAAATATATTTATACCTGAAGTTAGCTACTAAATGGTCATCGTGAGAGATAGATTAAATATGGAAAACCAAAACATAATGGAATAATAGATACTAGAGTTGAGAGAGTTATTTTAACTCATTGAAAAGTTAAGTGCTTGTGAAGCATTTTAGTGAAAGATAGGGCCTTGAGTGTTTTAAGATTTCAGGTATTAGACTGCTAAGGCCATAGGTGGCTGTCTGCGTTTTTGTTTTTAACACCTAAGAACAAGGAATAAAGTTTGCTGGAGCCCCTCAAAAAGCACGGGTAGGTTACAAGGATAAAGAGGCAAGGCCCAGATATAATTAATCAAAACCTAAGACATATTGAATTGCTCAAAAGTACACGGGCAGTTTTTAGAACCTAGAGCATGTTTCTCTCTGTGAGTTGAAGGACCTGTGGGCTTAGTGGAGTCAGAATACATTTTTAGAGGAAAGGAGAGATTTATCTGGACTCTGCTTTCTCAGCCTGGAATTCTCTCTTCTCTGCTTACCTAATTCCTACCTCACGCCCTCCATGGTTCTGGGCCAGTTCTACCTCTCCCTCAGTTTTACAAGATGCCCATCCTTTTCCAAAAGCCCCAAGCTTCAAGGCCCATGATAGAGGATTGTTGTAGCAACATACAGAACTGTGACTAGAGCAAATTTTTAAGTTTATCACTGGGGTTTACGTGAGAGATACTAATCAGAATCAGATATGAAGGGCACAGAATGCTGGGTTGAGGAGTTTATCCTTAAGGAATTCACTCAACAAATACATCAATTCGCCAAATATCCCCGTGTGTGCCAATTATGCACCACAACTTGTACTTGATACTGAGGATGTATCAGTGACAAAAAACAGACTAAAATCTCTGCCCTCAGACATCATAGTGAATAGGTCAGCAACAACAGTTTGTTAATGGGTAGGGCACATAGCGATTTCTGTTTCTAGTAATTTGGACCGCATGCAAACAATGTGAATCATTACCTTCCATATTAACATACTGTACTGCAGTGTCTCTTTTTAGTAAAACCAGGACAGTATAGTGTCCTTCCTAGTGCTTTCCATGTGAAACACACACGTGTACACACACAAACACAAACACACACACAGAGCTTTTAGTTTTCTACCCCAAAACACACTTTTATCAAAAGAAACTAAAGACAAAATTCAGAAATCAAAAGCACAATATTAGCACAATAAACCTACACAGTTCTTTTTCATGGTGTTGGCCTTGGACTGAATGGCTAAGGAGTTATATTAAATTCAGTGCATTAAAATAGTAAAATAAAAACAGCTTTTGCCCAGCTACAATTCGGGGATTTCTATGGAAGGGGAAATTTATATATACAGCTAATAAAATATTAAGAATTTTTAAACTTTGGTTAGTAAAGGTAGGCACAAAAGAGAGTGTACTATTTTGTGGTTATTTTCCATACATTTTGTTTTTTAAGGCTACAGGAAGGAAGACTTCATGTTGATTTAAGTCAAACACAAATGATAAAAGATTGAAATTTAAAAAATGCATATTTCAAGTTCCTGAGCTCTGATGCTAAATGCAGAGGGGGGGACATTTTAAGGCTTGGCATGGTGAGTGGTGAGTGGTATCAGAGGAAAATCCTGGGCGGGGGCGAAATAGAAAATCTACTCTAGAAGAGACCT